AGCAGTTAAATCAAGAATGCCCAAAGATAAAAATTTATCTACGAGAAAATGGCATTTTAGCCGATTCAGTTGACAAAGTAATATATGAAGGAGAAAATTCAAGCCCAGGTCCCCTCACCTGACAGCAGAGAAGAAGGTAAAAGCTTTATTATTCTCAACACAATAATATATTTTCCTTAGGCAGTGGTAAATCTCTTACTGTCATTTAACTCAATTTAACTAACTGTTACATATCCGTGAGATTTGGACACTGGATGCTTTAGGCTCCCAATTTACAATAGTTTGAGGTCTGAATAGAAGACCGCTTAACTACAAACTTTGTTTCAAAACTATTTTTGCTTCTTGCAATTTTTCAGTTTAAAAAGAAAATGCATTTGCAGTAGTAAAACATATCTATTACTAAAAATCAACAGTTAATGCAGATATAATTAATTTATCTTGGAAAGAAAAGGTACAGAATCCGCCCTCCCCCTCAATCTAAGACTGCTACCATGCTAGAAAAGATTCTTTACTCTTCACTGTTATCAGAAGATCTGCACGCAATATTGATTTCTTCCTTGCTCACAACCTTTTAAATAACAACCAAAACCAATAGAATATTGCTTTCTGCCAAATAGAGAAATGTAGAGCAAATATAATTAGATTTTTATTTAAAAGGATGTGGATTTGAGTCAGTTATGATGCAAGTACTAAGTACTACCGATAATTAGAGCTTCACTTTAATCATGTCCTTCCTAGAAACAGCAGGATTAGAAACAGTCACTGAATGCAAGCTGCAGCATGAGCAACAAGAGACTTCTAGCACTTAAGAGGAGTCATCTATACGTGTAAATATGGAACGAAAACACAGGATGAGAACATGAAAGTGGTCATTCAGAAACAAGAAAACTGATTCATTAAGTAAATGATTTCAAAATTTTCAAAAGATGCTTTAGTAGACAGATGCTCAGGATAGTTTCATCTGATGTTCATGAAATTCACAAACACATCGGCAACTTGCCTGATCTCCAAGCACTCCCCTTACTTTAAGTAAAAGTTCTTATTTACTTGGAAAAAAAGTTAGTATTTCTTCCTTGAAATAAAACTGCTTGGGCTTGCCTATCGCCACAAGAGTGAACAAGTGAGCACAGGCGATCAATCAGTTGTACACTTTCAGTTTCTTTATAAGTATGAGGATGACTTAGAACTTGTGATATCTTCAAAGTTATGATGCCTACTACTGTTGGTGGATATTTCTCAGCACATGACCTGTAGATGACCTCTGGCCTGCGAAACAATGAGACAGAAGTTTCCACTCATACAAGCAAGTCAACTAATTGTGGGAAAATAAAAGCAAAAATTCAGATTTTAGCTTATCAGAAAGCCCAATTGCAGATTAATTCTGCAGTTTTTATAGCTTGTGTATTATATAGCAATTGCTAGGTGAACAATTGAGATAACCTTACATAGGGGATGGGGGTAGAGGCCTCAAAAAGGCAAGAATCAGAAATGAGTTTTATTGTTAACTAGATGACTTTTACTCTGAGAAAACATATGTATAGCAGAATGATACCATTCTGAGAATACTACTCCTCATTTCTGTCCATGCATTTTGTGTACTGTATAATGAACAAATATCCAGAACATATAAATTTGCTCTTTCAGAATTAGGTCTGTGAAGACTTACAAAGACAAATCACATTTCAAAGCCATGTATGCCATGTAACACAGTCTAGTTTTCTGGAAATGAAGTAGAATTGATAAAGAGAGATGATAATGTGATTAATGCAGCAGATAGACATGACAACCACAAGATCACTTTTAATTATTTTGGTTACAAGCACTACACATGAAGCAGGGCCCCAGCATGCCAGGCAATGGACAAGAACAGACTTCCCTAGCAACAAACAACAGTTAAATCCAGGTTCTTCGAAAGAACTCTTCCATAACATAAAACGAAAGCCAGATGTGCTTTTATGCACTGTTTTAGCAGCAGCACAATTAGGTTAATAAACAAATGCCTGCAGCCCACCTGTAACTGTTTGTTACTGGCCTTCCTCCTTCCTTTCCCCACTTTTCCTCAACAGGTTTTCACCGGCTGATTGCAGAACATGTGTGGTTGTTCCCTAACCCTGTTTTATCAAAATTATCTAAATTATTTTAAGCGTTTCTTTAAATTCAAACCATTTAAAAGGCTCACGTTCAGAAGCAACTTCACCAGATCTAAAAAGGTAGCAGGCTATTGCAGGGAGGGATAACGGTGACAAAAAACATCGGACGATACCTCAGATGCCCTTTAGGACAATATATTTTATTCATCTTCATTCAATTTTGCTGTACTGTCAAATTCCTTATCAGTGTAATATGCAATTTCCCAGATCCTCTTAGTAAGGAAAAACTCTTGCTATGATGTTTTAAAACTATCTGACCCCAAATACAGGCAGGACACCGAAAGGTTACAAATACTCTGGTAAAAGTATACGGTAAATACATATTGTAAAAGTATGCTAAATTGCTCAATGTTTGCAGACTACTACAGGAGGACTTCTAAATAGAACTAAAGCACTATATCCTATCCAAAAGTCATTAAACCCGCATTACTTGTATAAAATGAACATATTCTGGACGTTCTTCAGTTTTAATGGTACTACATCTGTTCAAGTACGTCAGATGGTTCCTGTCCCAAAGAACTTGCAATCTAAGGCAACGGGCACTACTGTCCAAACTGAAGTTTAGGGTGGAAAAAACAGTGTTTGTATGAAAAGGAGTCATTATATCAGGCTGTGATCATTTTAAATAAGCACTGGTCAGTACCTAATACACTCCTGACAACACTGCTAGGACCATAAGTTTTGTATCCACCTTGTGCTTACAATAAAT